CAAACATACACACGCACACGCCCCGAACATACACATGCACACGCCCCGAACACCTCCCAACACACACACACACCCAAAACACCTCCTAACACACACACGCCCCAAATATACACACACACACGCCCCGAACATACACACACACAAACCCCGAACACCTCCCAACAGACACACACACATGCCCCGAACACACACACCCCAAACCCACGCACAGGCCCCAAACGTACACCTCCCACCCCAAACACATGCACACGCATGTGGAGAAAGTCCAAAGAAGAGCAACAAAAATGAAAAAAGGTCTAGAAAACATGACCTACGAGGGAAGATTGAAAAAATTGGGTTTGTTTAGTCTAGAGAAGAGAAGACCGAGAGAGGGGACATGAGAACAATTTTCAAGTACATAAAAAGTTGTTACAAGGAGGAGGGAGAAGAATTGTTCTTCTTAACCTCCGAGGACAGGACAAGAAGCAATGGGCTTAAATTGCAGCAGGGGAGGTTTAGGTTGGACATTAGGGAAAACCTCCTACCTGTCTGGGTGGTTAAGCACTGGAATAAATTGCCCAGTGAGGTTGTGGAATCTCCGTCACGGGGGATGTTTAAGAGCAGGTTGGACAAACCCCTGTCAGGGGTGGGCTAGATAATACTTAGCCCTGGCTTGAGTGCAGGGGACTGGACTTGATGACCTCTCGAGGTCCCTTCCAGTCCTACGGTTCTATGATATGCATGCCCACCCCCCAATCACACACGTGTGCACACACCCCAAGCATGTGCACACACACAAAGACACTCGCATGCACAGAAGTTCCTGCATATCCAAATGCTCACACAGCCACCGCCTCACATACGCCCCCAGGGGCGCAGACCCCTGGAATGAAGTAGGATTTTTCCAGAATATTTTGTATGCAGTGTGCGTGCCTCAGTTTCCCCTATGCGCTGCATGAGTAGCTGGGGGGGAAGTGTTTTCTTTGTAGAAGAATCCAGAGTTCCATGTGGGGCCTGGGCCCAGACAACAGCCCAGCGATTTGTTACCTAGCGACTGAGGACCCTGGCCCTCTGCAGGAAGCCAGGGAACAAAGAGTGAGGCAGGAGGAGACGGGGCAGCCCTGTTTGTGGGGGAAGAAGAGGAACAAAGACTGAGGAGTAGGGGGGTGACGACCTGTGGGTCATGGGCGGCTGGAGACACACTTCTGGACTGGGGGGCGGGGGGGGACTCTACAGAGGGGTCTGAGCGCACCTGGGCTCTGGTCACACCCCGCAGGACCCTGCTGTAACGTTCCCCTTCTCTGGGCTAACCACGGACGGTCTCTGCGGCGTCCGACGTCTAATAACCCTCCTGCTCTTACCCCGCTGCCGAGAGGCACTGAGTCTCAAGGGGTGAGGCCATTGCTCTCTGCGGGGTGCAAGCCGCCCAGGGTGCGATTCGCGTGGGCTGGCTGCGGGGGCTCAAGGCTCAGAGCTGCCGTCCCAGGAGGCGGGGGGGGGGGGGGCTTACGCCAGCGAGGGAGCAAGACCCTAAGGGGGCAACACTCCAACGGGGTCCTCCCAGGCACTGCTCCAGAGCCGCGGGGGAGCACCAGGCCGGTGGAGCTGTGACAGCCCCCAAACCAACCTCCCCCCGGATGCCCCCGCACGGCTGCTGGGGGGCTGGTTCGGGAGGTACCTTGGGCTCCGGCTGGGCGTCCGCAGAGACCTCCCGGTACTCGTGCCACCTCAGCCCGTCCGTGCTGAACTGCAGGAGGAAGTTGGTAACGTAGGCGTCCGAGGAGCCTGCCCCCTGCACCACCACCCCTGGGGGAGGAGAACAGCACAGCTCAGCGCCCCTGCAGGATATGGGGCTCTCCGGGGTACGGGCCAGGGAGACCCAGACTCTGTGAGCCGAGAGCTGCCCCTCGGCAGCGGGGCTATGGGGGGGCGGATCTGACGCCAGCCCCGGCAGGGCCTGGCACCCCGGCTGCACAGCGCCACACGGTCGGTCTGTCGGGATCGCCAAGGATCGTGTGGAGACCGGCTCCAAGGATCATCCCCAGCCGCTCACTTGGAGAGCAGGAGCCAGCGCTGCCAGCCCTGGCCTGGCCAGCCGGATGGCTCAGCCTCTTGTCCAGTGGCAGGGAGTCCCACAGCCAACAGCCAAGGGCTGAGGATGATGCCCCGGCTCGGTGGCCCAGGAGGTAACCGGGTCCTGGGCTGCCGAGGGCTCTGAATTGGCACCGCACTTTGCCCAGCGCAGGGCACCGAGCAGCAGGGGATGTGCAGCAGGCAGCCTGGCACTAGCCCCCCAGCACTGCCCTGGGGCTCTGGGGTGTCCTGCGCCCCCCAGAAGCCAGGGAAGGACGGGGGCTGGAGCGTGCCAGGCCAGGCACCTACCTGTGAGGTTCCTGGGCTCCAGCAGATCCACCTGCAGGTAGGGCGGCTTGGAGAGAAGCTCGTGGTACACCTCTGCCTGGGGCCCCCAGCCCTGTAGGTCCGAGCCCGGGAGCACGTGGTTGAGGCGCCCGGCGTGGGCAGGGTTCTCCGGCTGCTGGGAGGAGGCTGTGAAGCAGCTGTCCGGTAAGGAGGCCAAGCCCAGGGGGCCGTAGCACCGGTCTGGCGGACAGAGACGGGGGTCACGGGCGCTGCTGCGACTTGCCGAGGTACCCAAGGGAGCCGGGCCGGGCGGAGGGGTTGGCAGCAGAGCCCGACTCAGGAGATGCCCCTGCCCCGCGCTGGGAGTCAGAGACCGACCCGGCCCCATCGAGTCCATCCCAGACCCCGCCGGCCTCTGTCCGAGTGACCCCCACGCACACGCTGCCCATGGGGGCGCTCCCAGGGGCCCATGGAGTCAGCACTTACCTCCGAGAGGGGGCAGCGGGAAGGTGACGAGAGGAGGGCTGGTGGAGGCAGCCGGGCTGGCCAGGGTGGTGCCCGGGGCCCCCGCCGTCTGGACAGCAGGCGTGCTGGTCCTGTTCTCACCTGAGCAGGGCGACAAGATTTCTGCCTCGGGCCCTTCCACTCTGTGCCAGGCAAACCGTGGCCCACGCCCAGCTCCCCTCCCAGCTCCCCCGCTCAGCCCTGGGGGCAGGAGTCCCCCACGTCCCGCCCTTCCCCCTCCCCGCTGCCTTCCATCCCCGGGGAAAGGGGCAGCACATCTCAGGAGAGCCCCGGGTGGGGGGGTGCAGAACCCGCCCCATGGCCGGCCCCACGCTGGGGACAGCCCACGCTCTGCCCGGACCAGCACCGGCTACTGGGGGGCTGTGGGTCACGTCTGAGGGGCATCAGAATGGCGGGGGGGGGGTGTGCCAGGTCGGGATGGAGGGGGGCGCCGGGACTGGCTGGGGTATGTGTTATGAGAGTCCCTCCCCTCCTGCCCCCCAGCGCCATGGAGCCACGGGCCCTGCAACCCCTCCCACCCCGGACCCCTCCCAGCACCATGGCCCAAGCACAGCAGCACTGCCCCCTCGCCCCCCAGCCCAGCGCCATGGAGCCAAGGGCCCTGCGACCCCCCCTGGCTCCCCCCAGCGCAGGACTCACCCGCTTCAGCGCAGTAGCAGCAGGCCTCACCCCTGCCCTCCACCAGCGCCCGCCCCTGTGGGGAGACGTTGGAACCAGCCTGAGCCTCGGAGCTCTCCGGGGTGCCAGCCCAGTGCCCACGCCGCAGGGCAGCCTGGCTCCGTCACAGCCCCTTGCTGGGGCTCCAACCAGCCCTGCCCTGACTGGAGACGCCGTGGGAGGGTCACGCCCAGACCCCTCAAGTCCCCATGAACCCCCAAACCTCGCCCTGCCCCCCTCCAGCCAACCGTGCCCGCAGCCCTTCTCCAGCAACGCCAGCTCCCAGCAGCCGGGGCTGCACCCTCGGGGTGACCGGGCCTCAGCGGGCAGGGCTGGGTGCCGGGCTCACCTCTGGGCACCCCACGGTGCTGTAGGGGCAGTACTGGGAGCACTGCACCGTCAGGTTGGGCAGGCATTGGCACACCTGGCACTGCCCCGATCGCCAGCGGTCGCCAATGGGGTGCGACCGGCCGTGGTGCTCGCACTCCTCGCACGGATCTGTCTGGCACCTGCACGGGGAGGGGCAGGCAGAGGGGCGCGGTTAGAGCTGGCTGGGGGCACAGCGCCAGCGGGGAAGGACTGGGGCTTAAAGTCCAGTCCCCTGATTAGAGTGCCTGGCACCTAATGCCCACTGCCTGGTGCCCACCCCCAGAGCCCACCTCAGCCCTCTACAGAGCCCACTGCCCACCGCCCCCCCAGCCCCCTGCCCCGTGCCCACCCCCAGAGCCCACTGCCCACCCCAGCCCCCTACCCAATGCCGACCCCTAGGCCTCTACCCAGAGCCCACTGCCTGGTGCCCACCACAGCCCCCTACCCAGAGCCCAGTGCCTGGTACCTACCCCCAGAGCCCAATGCCCGGTGCCCACCACAGCTCCCTACCCAGTGCCCAGTGCCCAGTGCCCACCCCAGCCCCCATGCCCAGAGCCCGGTGCCCACACTCAGCTCCATACCCAGAGCCCACTGCACAGTACCCACCCCTACACCTCAGTCCCCATATATACGGTCTGAGGCCTTTTTCTGCAGCCATATTAGGTGAGAAGCTGCCATGAGCCAAGAAGCAGAAAGTCACATCCCCACATTCCATCTAAATTACAGTAAAACAATGTCATATGGGGCTATGAAGAAGGTGCCTCTCCTAATAGCACCCATCATCCCCAGCTGAGCAAGGAGACAGCGTTCTGTCTGGCCAGGAATCACTTCTCCACAGCTGTGGGGTGAAATCCCTACTTCGTTATTGTTTTGTCTTTATGGTCCCCACTTCTCTCTGGTTTATCTGTCTGGTGCTTTGATTGTTTCTGGCTGTTGCATAATTAATTTGACAAGATTTAAATCAACCAAGGTGGTGGGGTCTGACAGGGTCAAGAATGATGGTGCGGTATGTTAGGATTGGTCAGGGAATGATTTTGTAAGACTTTAGTGAAATGATTGGTTAAGGTGCAGCTAAGCAGGACTCAAGTGTCACTATATGAACTGGGGTCCAAGGAGAGCAGCTGGGAAGGAAAAAGAAAGGCAAAGGGAAGAGAAGAAGAAGAAGGAGGAGAAGGAAAGCGCGGGAAGAAGAAGAACTCGGCCCCAAGACACAGCCTAAGATCAAAGCCGCTACGAATCCTCAGCACGACCGGAAGGTGCAGCGGCCAGAACCCAGACGAGCCCGACCTTGCCGGGAAAGTCCCGCTGCCAGACCAGGACCGGGGAGCATGGCGCTGTAGGCTTAGCGTGTGTACTCTGGCTGGTGATGGGTAATAGAGGATCAGGATATTACTGCGCAAGGCTTTCCCTGGGAAAAGGCCCTGCAGCCCCGCAGAGGAGTGCGCCCGGAGCCCGAGGAACTGGGTAAAGGGGGAGCCCTGGAGTGTGCGGGTAACACATGCCCACTGCCGGCCCCCCCAGGCCCATGCCCACCGCCCAGGGTTGGTGCTCAGGGGCTCCTCTGAACTAACCCAGCCCGAGGGGCCATGCCGAGACCCTGCAGAGAGCGGCTGGACCTGACATGCCGAGACCCTGCAGAGAGCGGCTGGACCTGACGTGCCGAGACCCTGCAGAGAGCGGCTGCCCTGTTGGAGCCCCTCGAAGCGGCACAGCTCCCCCCCGGCGTCCCCTCAGTGTTACCTGCGCGCCTTGCGGTAGATGCCCCGGCACTGGCGCCCGTTGCCATGCTTGCTGGGGTTGTTGGGGCTGCGGAAGGACCACTGGATGCTCTGCACACCGCACGGGCCCAGGCACTCGCCCCAGGGAGACCAGGCCGACCAGCCGCAGTTAACTAGAGACAGACACAGGGAGGGGGCGTGAGACAAGCCCCCACAGCCAGGGGCAGCGGGACGCAGGCGAGCCAGGAACCAGCCACCCGCAGGCTCGGGAATGGAGGAGGGGCCGGGGAGCCCGGGGCCCAGCCCCACCTACCAGTGCACTCGGGGTTCTGCCGGCACCGCTTCATCTGCCCGTCCTGGCAGGCGCAGATGCGGCAGTTCACCTTCACCAGCTGGCCGGGCCAGTGGCGCACACCCTCCACCAGGCACGGGCACTCCCGGGGGCGCACACACTGCTGCTCGCTGTCCAGCACCAGCCCCTCCGGGCACCAGCAGCCTGCGGGGGGAGCACAGGGGCGGGTGAGGGCACACGCTCCCTCAGCCCCACTGCCGGCCATGCAGACGCCTGGCCCAGGCCCCAGCGGGGACGGTCAGAGCAGCTTTGCCCCACCACTCTATAGGGCAGAGGGATCTCCACGGGGACCCCACCCATGGCTACAGTAACACTGGCACTGAGCCACACCCAGTACTGGTGGTTAATTTGTGCCAGGGTTTGCCAGGGCTGAGACGCGGCACCTCTGGGCCTGGCAGTTGAGAGCCCCGGCACCTCTGGGCCTGGCAGGGCTGAGATGCGGCACCTGTGGTCTTGCTGCATCAGTTATAAATGTAAAACAATTGCTTGAGCCCCGGCTCCTCTTTCATTACAACTCAGACACTGCCCAGTACCCTCCGGCTCGTGGCGCCAGCGTCTGCTCCAGTGCAGACCCACAGGGGTCGGCCTGGTCAAGCTACAGACGCGCCTAGGGTAGGTGGGCAGTGAGTGCCGCTAGGCAGAGGCAGTGCCCACCCGCTAGACCCCCCGCGGCCCTCCCACCCGGCCCCCCAGATCCCATCCCCTCACCCACACCCCAGCCCCCACCCCTCCCAGCCCTCCCACCCCGTCCCCACCCTCCAACCCAGCCCCGCCACAGCCCTACCTGGGCTGCAGGGCCTGTCCCTCTTGCACTTGCCCTTGCTGGCCAGATCGGCACAGGACATGGGGCACGGGGCACACAGCCTGCGCGCCAGGCCTGCGGGGCAGGCAGTGGCATTGAGGCAGCCTTCCAGCTGGCAGGGCTCTGCAGAGAGAGACCGGGGAGCACGGTTAGCTCACTCGGGGCTGCCCGGGCACCAAACCCAGCCCCACCACCCGCAGCCCAGCCCCGGGAGCTCCAGGAACGCGGCAGAGGTGCCAGGCTGGGCTCGACCCTCTCGGGAGCCGGCTGCCAGGGGCAGCTGTTCTGGGCCATGGTGGCAGCATCGTAGGAACCCCCCCCCCAGCAGAGGGAGCTCCGGGGCCAACAGCAACGCAGAGCGGCTCTGGGGGGCCAAGGGCCCCTGACACCCACTCATGGGCAGGGTAGCCTGGGCAGCGGGGAAGGATCTACGACAGATGGCATCTGTGGGCTTGGCCGAGTTCCAGGCCACGGGGAAGCACAGAGAGCTGCTCCGCCCCATAGAGCCGCTCCCCAGCGTGGATGCCGGCCGTGCCCGGAGCAGGGGACCCCGGCCACGGCCCCACGGACTCACTGATCTCCAGCGTGCTGGGCGAGGCTCCGGGCAGCTCGGAGCAGTGCCGGCCCCCGTTCCGGGGCGCGATGCACTCCCGGCGCCGCACCACCACCCCGCGGCAGTCCTGGGTGCAGTTCGCCCACGTCACCCACTCGCTCCAGGCACCGTCCACTGCAGGGCACAGAAGGGAGAGGGCAGGTGGGACCGGCCCCGCCCACGCACTGCACCGGCTGGAGTACCCCCCGTATCGCCTGCGTGGGGCTGCAGTGATTCTGGATACATCCCCTTCTGTCCGCCCCGCGCCCGGCTGTAGGGACACCCTTCTGTCCGCCCCGCGCCCGGCTGTATGGACACCCCTCTGTCTGCCCTGCGCCCGGCTGTATGGACACCCCTCTCCCAGCTGTATGGACACCCCTGTGTTCACCCCAGACCCGGCTGTATGGACACCGCCCCCGGCCCAGTCTCACCTGGGCAGGCCAGGGCGAAGCACTGCTGGGCTTGCGTCTCCTCGCCGTGGCAGTGGCGCAGGACGTCGTTGGCCCGTCTGGTGCAGACCCGCCTGCGGATCTGCAGGCCCGTCCCACAGGACCGGCTGCAGGTGCTCCAGGGGGCCCAGGGGCTCCAGAGCCCGCAGTCCCGCTCGTCCGAGGGCAGCCAGCCCGAGGCCTCGCTGCCATCTGCGCAATCCGCCAGCCCGTTACACACCTGCCGGGAGACCACACTGAGCCGCCCGGGGAGAGGCAGAGACCCACAGAGCTGGGGGGCGACAGTGACGGGGGGGAGACAGAGAGCAGGGAAGGGGGCAGGGCAGGGCAGGCAGTATGGGCAGGTGAGCGAAGCAGAGACCAGCCGATATGGGGAGAAGCATATGAGCGGACAGAGCAGCGGGCACTAGGGGGCACTCTGGACTGGCACCAGGAGGCGAGGGCGGGTGGCGCAGCTGTCCCATGCTGTGAGGATGCAGCCGGCTCTGCCCTGCGGGGAGTGGCAGCAGGGATGGAAGGGCCGGGCCGGGAGATGCGGGGCTAGGCATGCCTGGCAGGCTGGCGGGGGCAGAGGAGCGTGGCGCAGCAGCCCCCAGGCTGTCTCAGCGGTTGGGAATGAGGCTGCCGGGTGCCAGGGGTGCGATGCATTGGTGAGGGGAGCATAGCGAGAAGGGGCGTGAGCCCGAGGGCACGATCCTCAGCCGGGGGAGGGCGGTGCAGATGGAGGCAGGGGTGGGGGGAGCACTGAGGCAGGCGCAGGGGACAGGAGGGGACAGCCTGGGCACTGCTAGGCAGGGAGCTTACATGTCTCGGGCCAGGGCACAGGGGCTATGCCCAGCTCACCCAGGGGCACTGCCCTTCCTCCTCCCTGGACGCTCTGCCACGCCCCGATCGGGCAGCACCTCCCAGCCCCGCAGGCAGGGGAGCGGAGCCGGGGCAGGGCTGGGCCAGCAGCCGCACACACCAGCGTCTTGCAGCCCCCGACAGGGGGCACTGCCCCCACGCAGAGCCCCCAGCCCCAGCCCCAGCCGTACCTGCTTAAAGGGGATGCATTTGCCCTCAGCACATGAGTACTCGGTGCAGGGCCCCACCGTCTGGTTCCTCTCGCCCGGCGGGACGTGGTGTTCTGCAGGGGGGCGGATGGGGGGCAGTGAGAG